TATATAAACCAAGCACAGTCTAAGTCAAACATAATCTAAGCCAACAAGGGAAAAAATACACATAGCTGGTCCAACTAAAATTATGGTTGATATAGGGACACAATACATATTGTATAGCTGGAATAACTATAAAAATAGTTGACCTAACTAAACATTTAGTTTTTTTAATAAATGTATAGTTGCTTTAACTAAAAATTTAGTTGGCCTAAATATTTATAAAAAGTTATAATAAAGAACGCCCTAATATTACAAGCACAATAATGTTCAATATGTGAACAATTTATCGGTCAAAGGGCAATTTTCCTTAATAAAAAAAAGTTTGACTACAAATGTTTAAGAAAAGCGTTTATGCTATAGCCCAACTTCAGTTACACCTCAAGATCCAAAACTACGCTAGAACAAGTTCACAAAGCATAATTATTTAAATAATTTTTCATTAGAATATTTTTCAAAATAATTGCGTTATTCGAACAAGAATTCGCACAACTCTATCCGTCTTGATGGTCGATGGCCGGTGGGCATCGTATGTGGTTTTCGATAATAGTGTAAGCGGTAAATATTTAAAAATTGCTTTATTTTATATCTGACCACCGCATAGGTATAATGACCGTACTGACCGACTGTGCAACAACGGGTTGGTTCGGTCGGTCGGGACTGGTGGACGAGCGCGGTGTACGTTTAAGACGATAGTGTCGAGAGGAGGGGGCTGTAGCTGTGGGGTGATTTAGAGGGGGGGGGGGGTAGGGCAGGGCGGTTTAAGGGTGGGCAGGCAAAGGAGAGTCCTTGAGTGTGATTTTCCGGCTATTCTTTCTGCCGTGTATCCATGGTAACGCGTGGAACGTCGCGACGTTGTACGTGTATTTTATATGTATATAAATCCCTCGGCATACGCGATAATGTATAATAGCCCGTCAGAATCCCGTCATAACTCGTGTGCATTTAACGTGACGCAAATCGTTCGGCTGCCGGCCACGTACAAACCCGGCCGGGATACAAACACACACAAACAGCAGTACCTATTATTATGCGTGCACCGTATGCCGGGAGGTCCACCGGGATGACGGCGAACCCTCGGGACACGGCGACGGGAATCCGCCGAGAGCCGGCCGTCCGGCGTGAGTGATGTCTGCAAACGGCGTTGACGAGGCGACGGCGAACGACGCACAAGACCTGTTGACGGCCGTGAGAGGCGCTTCGACGGTAAGCCGCTATTTATTAAGGGGCAAAGGATAGGCAATATTTTATAAAAATTGATCTTGTACCCGTTTTTTAAATGCCGACTAAATTTAAGGTGAAAAAATATAAGAACTTTTTCTAGTTGTAACACTTTCCAAGTTTTTTTTCTCCGAGTTTCAAGCGAAAGTTTCATAAAAAATGACTTCCGTACAAGTCTGGTACATTTTCTGGCGCGTACCTGATCGTATATTGGACGGATTTCAATTTTTTTTTAAATAATATTATGTGAAGCTTACTATTTTTTCTATGGCGGCTAAAAAGCCGATTTTTCATTTAGCTATTAAAAAACTAGTTAAATTTATTAGAAAAAAACTATAAATACTTATAACATTTTTTTGAAAACAAAAATAAAAAAAATTTTTTTTTTAATTTTAAAAGTTTTTGATGTTAAAAAGCAATTTTTTTTACATAAAAAAAGCAAGAAATCCGATTAGAACACAACCTTGTTTGATAAACCTGAGGTCTGGCCATCTCTGGTATGATATCATCTCTGAAATAAATGAGAGATGATAAAACACTATCGGTAAACATTGACGAACCAAAAAAATATCATCAACTTTTCCCTTTATTTCGCTTATTTATTTGTAGTTTTCGGACTAAGGTCTGAAAATCAGATAAAAGGTAGATTTGTAATATGGCTACACGGCTATTATACATTTTTTAAATACTTAAATGATGTTTTCAAACATTTCAACAACATAAATATTTCAATGATATTTCCTAATTATTATAAATTCAGAAATTTTCCAAGAATTATTTTGTTCAAATACATTTGTATTGCTATGCCTGTATAAGTTAGAGTCATGTGGGTTGATCGTGTTAATTAGCATTTTATAATTCGTTCAAAGTAAATACCTATCAGAATTTGTGTAGGCGAGCTTTTATTCGTTAATTTTACTTATATATAGTTTATTTATGCTATTTGTGTTAAAAATTATATTATGTTATTCATTACGACACAAAATTATTAAAATTAATTTTTCTGTGTAAAACTTCAAACTATTTCTCTCGTTACCAAAATGAGTGTTGTTCCCATAACATTTTACCTTAATGTAAAAGAAATAAGTCAATTAAGTATGTACATACATCTATTTACTTTAAAACTTGATCATAAGGAGTTATGTAAAGGAGTTTTCTAAAAAGTGAGTTTGAGTTAGGTACACAAGCACTTTGCTACAAATTTTGTTTTAATATTTGAAAACAAAACTTACAATTAAAAGTATATATTAGTTTGAAAGAGGTATAACAAAGTTTGTCATAAAAATACACTTCAAACATTTTTTAAACTTTTAATATTTTGTAATTTATCGTTTTTAATATTATTTAATTTTGTAACAGTAGAAAAAAAGGTTTTAAAAATATTTTATTAAAAAGTTAAAACAAAAATCGCACAAAAAATATTGTAATTGATAAGTATAACTAAATATTTTAAGCAGAGTTGGGTAAAATGTATTATGGTTAATAGAGTAACGTTTAAACAGGTTTTTTTTATCAACCCCGACATTTTAGTCATTGTGATTTTAAAATTAATTTTCAATTATTAGTAAGTTATTCGTGATTAAACATATAGTAAATATTACCTTTATGAGTAATTATTTAGTTCCTTATTTAATTATTAACTTACGCATTACTTATTAGGTATAGGTATATGTTATTTTACATTAACAATAATTAAAGAATAATTACTCACATAATATTTAAAGATATTTTACCGTGAATAATTTAATCGACAATTGATATTTTGAGTAGAGATTTCCAATTGATTACCGTTAAAAGATTGAAGATAGTATAACAGTTTATACATAGGACATTATATAGTAACTAGAGATGTTAGATTTTTCCCTTTTGTAATATTGTCTGAGTGTTATTAGACACTTTGAAATGTAACAGCTATAACACAAGGAAAGATCATATTTGCAGGGATCAGAGAAATGCCTTGAGGTTTTTGTCTCCGCCATGCCATAATAATGTAATGTAATAATAATAACAGCAATAACAATGACAATATTATTGTTGTACAGACTGTACATTTTTTTTTTCATGGCCGTGAACATATTCGGTAGTTGTTAAATTAATAGCAAGTGTACACATCAGCTGAGCTGTTCGACTTGCCTTTAGGCAGTGTTGGGCAATTGACCAAATAGATCAGCACTAGAACACCATTGATTATTTAAAATGATTATAATGTATTCTATAGTAATTTTTGAACATGTTCTGAAATCCAACAAGAAAATCATGATAAGGTATTAAAAATCTATAATTTTAATTATTTTCTAAATTCATTTTAGACGTGTTAGAGAAAATCCGAAGCTAGATTTTAACGAAAAATAATGGATTTTAGTTCTTGTTCCAAAAAAAATGTTCCTTAACTTTGACAAAATTCACATTTCAAAAGTCAAACATATGAAAAAGAAAAATGTAACCTAGTTGATTTATACATTATTTAAATTCCGTGTTAACCAGCCAAACTTTGATTTTTTGAAAATACTAGGTAAGACAAACCTTGTTGCGCCCTCCCTCGCCAATTCGTACACCTCGGGCTGCCCTCGGAGACTTTTCTGGATTATTTCCACACACACACACACACACACTATGATGTATAATATAATATAATTATCGTGTAATGGCTTGTTTTTCTGCGAACCGAAAGTCTCAATAAATTGCGTTGCCATTGTATATGTAGTGTGACAACAGCGTCAGTCAGTGCTTGGAGTAGGTACACAGCAGTGAGCTTTATTTTATTTTAGATACGTTTTATTTTACCTATGGCCGGGGTGTAAATGGACCGACCGAGTGAATATACGTGACGACAATATGATTATTACGGACGTCATTTTCGCCACCAGACGTAAGCCATTTGCCAGGAACAAAGCCAAGAAATACATTTAAGCGACCAGGATATTAAGAAAAATATATCATTATCCGTCGCTAAAGTAAATTAAATTTTTGTTCTTCGTACACGCTTCGAGAAAAAAAGAAAAAAGGTCTTAACAGCAATCGTTTAATAATATATATATATATATATATATATAATTAAAAACTGTCATGATTATGATTTTCTATTACCAATTACAAATTTGTAATCCCGATTGTAATTACACAAACCTCGGCAAAGTAAATTTAAAAATAGCCTCTCTGATCCTCGTCGAAGCTAAAAATTAACTTCGTTAAAAGTTTATTAGAAAATGTATAATATGATGTTAAAATGACTTATTCGAATTTAAAAAATGGTAGTTCTTTTTAACTAATAATAACATAGTGGTAGCTCTGGCGTCGAGTAATTATTATCTTACAACAAGATTATTTGCCGTCGTATTTTTAAATAAAAGCTAAAAATAAAAAAATAAATAATATTATTTATTGATAGTATAATTGATATTATAATATCAATCAAATATTATTCCAAGTAGATAATAGAAAAGTAAAATAAACATTTAATTTCTCACTAAAATTTATATAAAATGGTCAATATTTCTGTTATGTTATAATTTGGATTATCCTATGTGTCGTTGAATAATTACAATGCTGCAATTAAAATGTACTGATTACTAAAGCAATCATGATTACTAATTACTAATTACTTTATAAAAAAATAATTTAGTGTTGTGTAATCGATTTCTTCGTTTTAATGATAACCGAATCGTTTACACTCGACAGTCTGCAGTTTTGCCCTCATAAAATGCACTCACTTTTGTACTGTTTTTTTCAACTGTTTTATTGTATTTACAAAAAAATTATATTTTTAATTTAAATTTTGATTTCAGGACACGAGAACGCATGTGGTGGTCGAGCTTTACGACACGGAACGTTCCTACGTCGAATCGTTGCAAACCTTAGTAAATGTAAGTACTTGTAATTGAACCTAAATTGTTGTCTTTGCGTTTTTTATTATTATCAGTTCACGCTACAACTCAAACCATGTTCGATAATATTTTGATCTAATAATGAAATTTTCATAAAGTTTTGTCGGACAAACAAAATGCACGAAGGAACGTGTTGCGATACACAAAGTTGCTATATTGTATATTGTGTTACGTACGTTGTTCTGATCTGGGGTTAATGGCACCAAAATGTGAAACACAATATCCCAACAATAATTAAATTAATTACCAGCAAACTAGGGTAAACAATTAAAAAAGTTCTTATGTTTTTCACAATAAGTTTTACTATGGTTTTATACGGTAGTAATATTTAATAAATTAGTTTTTAGCGACACTGTATAGTTTTTTTTTTTTTTTACTAACAAAGAAGGCGTCTATAAAATATTTAAACAAAAATATTCAACTTATTTTTCTCAACAATTTATCAAGTCAGTGTACTTAATTTTTTAACCGTGACTTAAACGTTTCCATTAATCAAACGAAATGATTATGTTTGTAAAAAAAACAAACCAAACTTACACTCCAATATATTTTTCTTACATTTTGAGCACAGACGGGTGTTAATCTTTTAATGATAAAATAGTGTCTACTTACATTTCATATTAAAAAATAAATAAGTAAATGTTATTTCCATTAACTTCTTTAACGGGGGTGCAATCTCGTTGACGCAAAACAAATGTTACACTTTATTTTATACAAAAACATTTAAAATATACTTACTTCAAGTTAAAACCCCAGTGACAAAGTCGTGTTACCAATTGAAACAGTCATCGACAGCCAAGTTAAATTAATTTTCTATTCTTTCTCCACTAGGTATTTTATTAGTTAAAATTAATTTAATTGCAAACCAATTTTTTTTAGTTATAAAATTAACGTAAGAACGATTTTCTAAACATACAATATTTGAATAAAAGACTTTTCATCAAGTTTTTCAAATTAAGTTAACGCGAGATGTTAACTGATATGTTGTAACAGCTGTTAATTTTTAATTTTTTTACTTAATGAAATGAATATAAATCATTAGCTCGCGTGGCATTGAATACATTAGCAGATATTAATAAAGAGTTCGAACGCAAACAAACAAATAATGTCATAATATACATATCATATAGTTTGAATAATTAAATCAGAAATCCCAAATGTGTTATTGGCAAAGAAAGCGGTTGTGTGTAAAATTTGAAGGTCGTGGCCTAAAACTTGGTCAATATTTACTCGAAAAAAAAAATAATGCGTTTGTAGTTCTCTTCCGGTACATTAACAATCGGTCTACCCATTAAAGTTAGATAAAAAATCATTTTATATTATGTTTTGATTACAATATGTTGGATCGTATTTACGTATATATAGATGTAGCCAGACAAGCTACTCATTTAGTTCCAAAGACATTGATATGTCATTAGTCGATACCAAAACAGTGAAAATGAATGCTTAGATAGAATATTACTAATTAAGTGTTACATGTTTTAATTTTAATTTCAAGTCACTTTGAAAAACTGTTTTACCTCATCGTAACACTTTTTGTCACTTAAAAAACGTGATTGTACATGATTGTCTTTCCTTACACCTTTTACTTTCGGGTTATTATTAATAAAATGTTTAACAATTTGCCCAAAATAAAGAAAAACTCTTATTATGTTTTTGAATAAAAATCCGTAAAACAATATCTGAAGAATACCTCGAATAAATTTTTAATTATTTTTGCATAAAAATTGTGTAGTGTTGGTTTTTGGCTTTATTAGTATCTTTCGCCTACGTTTTCTGAACATTAGATCTGTATTTTTTCTCTTTCGTACATAAACATTATCATTTTAAAGTCCTCTCCACAAAACAAGCAGTGTTTGTGCATAATAATGTCCATCTTACCTTGGCCTACAGCAGAATGTACCTACTTATATTGTTAAAAAGTCTACTAAGTAATCCTGTCTACAAAATATAACAGGTCTTCGAACCAATGGAAATACGCCCATAAAAAAATATGTCTTAAAATAAAATTTATATTTAAGGTGTACTTAATTTTCTAAATCTTCTTTCAGCATTTATTTTCAGTCTATGGATAATTTCTCATTCGAGCTATTTGCCAATAATTAATGAAATCATATATTGTCAATACATTTTTATTATGGTTCTTTTTTAGAGTAGACCTACTGTCAGGGTCTACTCTGAAAAACCTCAAGACCTCTTGACCGTCTACCTAACGGAGCCGTCGTTTAAATCTGAGTAAAATACATTTGAACGTCTCCCCACGTCAAATCGTATAAGTCACGCGTCGTTTGGTTAATTTGAAAATCCTAAGCGATTGGGGATGGATCTTCGTAGACTTTCATAATTACTTCTGTATTCAGTTGGTGAACATAAATAATTTATTTCACCTATTAATTTCATTTGAAACATAACACAACTTGTTGAATCAAAATACAATCATCAAATAGGTATCTGAAAAATATTTCCAAATTATATTTTGATTACAGTATAGAAGGTAAAAACGACTACCTCGTTAGATAGACAAACGATCAACGATTGTAGTAATCACCATAAAATTACATTTATAATTTTAGGCATATGCTTTTATCGATATTTGTGCTACTATCATACACAGATTTGCACCGAAGCGTTTTATCACTTTTAATTAAAATAATTCCTGTAGACCTGTGACCTCCCTCACTCCACTATGCCCCCACCACAATGGTCTGGCTTTTTATTTCTCCCATTTCACTCGGTAGCCAAAACGTAATGCATTTACAAGATTGTTAACACAATTATCACCCTTGAACAAATTTTTATGGAACGTTTTTTTTTTAATGGAGCTCAGAAGTATCATACTTGATATATATAGTATACATAATATAAATGTTTAAATAATGTCACGTGCTATTTTTTAATAATTTAATTTATGTAAAACTCAAGAAGCGTTTTAACAGTCTTAATAAATCTCCTGGATAGTAAAATTTGTAATATCTGTTTATGTACATAAGATCCAGGAGTGTAATAAAAATATAAAAAACAGTACAAGAAGACAGCGAAGTACAGAAGATGTTTTTTTTTAAACTTTATTTTTAAATAATGTTTGTTGTTCTATTAATCATTAATAAATACTGTTGTTATTGGTAGGCATAACTGCCTTATATACTTCATATACTCTACGCTGGCTAAGAGGTAATTGTTTTGTTTATAAACCCTAAACCTTTTGATATTTAAAAGTTTTTCATAGTATTGATAGCTAATTTTTCTTAGTAAAAACATAAAAATGAACAAAACATTTAAAAACGTGGTCTTTTAGCTTACCAATTAAAAATCAATCTGAAATGTTTTAACCTATTAACGCCCGGCGGTCCCTTTTTGGACTCAAAAGTAAAAAAAAAAATAGTTACGGGCGTTAATCTGAAATGGATCAATTCTGCTAGTCAAGTAATTTTTTATCGACTTACTAAGATGCATACTTCTTCATAAGATATGGAAAAACATATTTTAAAAAAATAAAACGAAACTTAATTAGTAGTAATTTGGCTTTGAATAAGTCGGCATATTAAAAATGCCTAGTGGATACATTTTTGACAAATGTTGCCTATGTTTTACACCTAAATAAAAAGCCACTTATTTTAATCCTATTTAGACACGTTGAATGCATTAACGAATTTCGTACAAGCCGTGTTGTATCTGCTCGGAGATTATAATTTTTTTAATTAAAAAAAAAAATCATAAGAAATGCGGTTTTCATTTGACCGAGTGCAATGCACCTTCCACGAAAAAAAATATGTTCTTTAATAATTTGGCTACTCTGTTTTATGTACTTAATCCATCATTTTATAATCTTCTAACCATGCACATTGTCAAAAACGTTAAAATACTGATATTATAACGTGTATAATAATATATTATTAATATAATTATAACATAAATTCCAAACAAAAGCCTTGTTGAACGAGAAACTGTTGTACACGCACAGCCGGCTGGACACTAATATAATACATAACATTATAACATTTGATTTTGTTTTATGATTTATTCTGTTGAAAGGGAAAGAATTATTTCATACTTCAGTAATTTTTTGGTTATTTTCCCCCAGGATTTACTATTTATATACCACCATACCAACTGAAATATCGCATAGTTTTTTGGCTTAAGCGTTTTGTGGTGTCGATTAACATAATTATTTTGTGTGTTTAGAACTCGCACATTGATCGTTATCACGTTTGATAGTTTTATAAATATATATATATATTTATATTTTATATTTATTTGATTTATTTACTAAATTTCACTCAAGTGGTGTACGTATTGTATTGTATTTGTATTTTTCGCGATGAAAATAATAATTGTTAAATAACTACATTGTATAACTAACAGTTTAATAACACTATCACAATGTATTGTGTTGTATTATAATTAGGGTTTGGAAGTTTATGTAATTAAACGTTTTTGCTGATTTGTTGTATTATAATTATTAAGGTCTGGAAGTTTATGTAGTTGAACGTTTTTGCTGATTGGTCCGTAAAACAGCTGAACAAACTAAAACATTTAATTGCATTTTAAAGAATCCTAATTAAAAAATTTGTTTCACATGTTTAATTATCGGATTTTTTTCATATTTACATTTATTTTTAAAAACGTTTTTGTTTGCGCGCATTACAATATTACACAATATTTAAATTTTAATATTTTCTAGAGTGTTATCAGAAACTTAAATGGTAACGTCTATATTTTATTAACTTTTTAAATTAAGAATAATTTGTTGTACATTTTAATTGACCAAGAACTAGTTTTGAATAAATATGTTTAAAGTTACCTATCAAAGTTGATATTTTAGGACGGAAGGAAGGGTGAAGAGTAATTTTTATCTGCACTAATTTCTCAATCACATTCCACCTCTCGACTAGTTAAAATTTTCAGTAAATTGTTCTTAATTAAAACATTCAAATAAACATAATATTATGTTACCATTTAAGTTTCAAAAGTTGATAAAG